CACGTGTGCCCCCTTCGTCGCACGGAGAATATCAAGTCGATAGTCTATTTCACGCCAGGTAGCGGCAAGTATGTCTGCATCCACAGAGGCTATTGCGGTTGTAATTCTGGTTTTTAGGTCATCAATGTTCGACACGATCTTCCTGTAAACATTGTCCTTTATAAATCCCCAAAGAAAAAAGTCCAGCGGCATTATATCAGGTGATCTGGGTGGCCAAGGAATTGGACCTCCTCGCCTACAGAAAAGACGGTCTCATCAGTCGTATACTTAGACATGTTGGAAAACTTCGTATTTCCACAACTAGAAGAGCTTCAGTCACATGTCTTTTTGCAACAAGATGGTGCACCACCTCATTGGGGTATCATCGTTCGTAGTTCTTTGAATGACCATTTTCCAGGATGATGGATTGGGCGAGGATGTAATAGATTGATTGGGCGATGATGTCAAAATCTGGATCTTAACCATATTAAAATTAAATAGTTATTTGAACCTCACAAAATGGCAATCAAGAATTCAAATTTGCAATATTAACTTCATGCTTCAAACGGTTTTTCGAATCTTGATTCGACTTGGGTACTTACACTGCAAGAAGAAGAAGAAGATCCCAGTTACCCCCACATGGGATCTATGGACGTCGAAAGGAAATGGCGAGTTAAAGTTGAGCTAATTTTCTCCACGTAAGTAATGATGTTATTTAACGTAAAATTTATTAAATACACCGCCGTATCGCTCATCGAATTTGTTGGAATATCTTTTACTTAAGTTAGATTTATTATTTGTTTGTGTATTTTATTCTAACAGTGATATATTTTTGTTTTGTGTACCTGGAAACTTCGATGCGTAATTAGGTTGTTTATGTTTCACGTGACTTCGTGTTATGTACGAAATTTATTGCGAAAGATTTGAGATCTTAGTGTAAGAATACAGAATGTGTTATTTAGGAGAATTGATACTTAACGGTCTTGGCTTACTCGAAATAGAATGGAAAAAAATACTTGCTAACGTAAGCAAATGCCACGTTTCAACAACCAATCAGGATAGAGATACCCCCACTGCGTTACTTGCAGATATTTCATTGGATTTATGGCTAAAAAATCAAATGATTTTGTAGATTATGACTGCCAGTCGCATTCTCATTGGAGAGCGATATCATGTGGTAATAACATATATTGAATAACATCAAGTCAGAAATCTAATGTGCGTTCTGCTGCTTCCAAAATTGATTATTGAAATAAATTTAGGTGGAAAATTACTGAGTCGAGTGTTTGCAACTACAGAAAATTCGATCGCCATGCAGATATTAATTTTTTGAATGGTTATTTCAATAATCTGTACTATACGTATATCATAGTTTCAAAAAACCAAAACTTTTACAACACGCTTTGAAATATCTATGATTTCTATATTTTTAACAAACGTATTAAATAAATAATCTCCTTGAAAACAAGACACATTCTTGGAACACAGTGATATGAAGCAGCATTTGTAAGATTTTGAAATTTGTCACAAACATCAAAATGATGAGTTATTATTTTTAAAACCACTTCAAATTGAAATGCTTTATTCTTTTACTTTACAAAGATAAATAGATTTAAGTAAAACATATACTAATTCACATAAAATGGAAATATTATAAGGAAATATGCAAAACCGATGTCCTAATTTAGTTAAAAGATAAAATTTTCAAATCCTTTGTATTCAGCTCATAAATACCATAACATATTGGTAATTAAATGGATCCAGAGTGTTTGTTGGTGCAAAATAAAACTTCGCAACACTCTATCGTAATTATCACTCTATTGATTAAAACTCATTTATAAGCTATCTTAAGCCCGACGTGGGTTCGGGCTCGTTTACGAAAAAAAAAAATCTTTCGAGTAGGCTCGGACTCATCATAACATTTTCATAAACTTTTTCACTACTTGTAAACAAATATAAGGTTCAGTTATAGAGAATAAGAAAAGTATAATTTATAAGGTATGAAAAAAAATTACCGACATCTCGTTACTTCTGTTCGGTTTTTTAGCTTAGTGAGGCTAACGTTTAATGTCAAAGTAGAAATGTCTTTTATTTAGTTTAAGATATTGATTTACTTTTTTAATTTTCGTTTGTATTATCTTGGAGTTTCCGTCGGTTCAGTGTTTCTCTTCACTTTTTGTTTTACAGGGTAGTGATAAAAAAAATTTTAATGACCAATGTCCTTTCTTAAGCATCAAATGACGAGATAACACAATTTGACCTTTATCCGACGAACTGCAACTCATTGTTGTTGTTTCTAATACGACATGCCAATATCAACAAGCCTACTAGGGGAAACCAAGCGAATTTAGGGCAGAGGTCGCGTTTCCTGTTCTTCAGTGGCTCCATCTTATGGTCAAGAACCCGCCTTCAGTCACACGCGCGTTATAGCCCGTTTATAGGGCAGACTCATTCATACATCCATTCACTCATCAGAAGATTCTAATTTTGATCTGAACTAGAGAACGATCAATCTCCAACTCAGTACCCCCAGAGGTATGATTTGTTATGGGTACTTGGAGGACTTTGTGACCGGACAGATTTAACATGCATCAGACACCATTTACTGCAAGGTAAGTCTTCATCAGGCGGGAATCAAACTCACGACCTCTTGAACATGCCAATATATCTCGCGCTCAGGTGGGCACGGATTGAACTCCTTCGGGCTTCCCAGTTCCTTCCTTGAACGCTGCTCTCTTTTTCTCCTCTCCGCTGTGACATATGAAATCAAGAATCTTCCTATCAGTTAGCAATATGGATGTATATTGCCTCTGCGGGGGTGGGAGATAAGTACGGGATGATTTGGTATTAATTCCCACCAAGGATATGTTAAAGCTCCCTTGAAATGGAGACATCTTATTTTTAAAATTCAGATCTAAAAATATATTTTTTAAATTGCAACTTTAATCACCCAAATTTTGATTGAAAAAATTGTACTCTTAGAAGAGGTCCATTTATTAAATGTGAGAGGCTGAGATCAAGTTCCGCGAATAAGATCCAAAAAATATTAATCTCCATTAATACTAATATTTCAAACTTTTCATAAAACATTTTTTAATTGAATATAGTTTCCTGAAAAAATATGACATTAAAAAATGATATTAAGGAAACACATATTTCACATAAGAATTAACCATATGATATAAATAATTTATAAGGGTTCAGATGTTTAGTATTAAGAAGCCCTACTGATTAAGTTCATTTTCACCCGCAATTATTTAATGAATTAACCTCGCTGATTTATATTTGCATGCATTGGTAGCTATGAAGAATTAATGAATGATTTTGCAAAGAAATATAACGATAATTTATTTCAATTTAAAGTTACGTGACAACAATCAGAAAATTAATTAGGAAGCGTCTGCTTTGATTTATATCAACATAGTTTATCATATTTGACATTCTTATCAGTTATGGAGTTTCGTTTGTTTATCAGAATATCGCGTTTTAATAAAAGACGGGGAAGATTGAAATTCTTGGTTATAAATATGTGCTGTTAATGTTTCTAGTTTTAAATGGTGGATTTCACGTATCAAAGGATAAATTCTAATATGTTGTCTTTATAGGTTTATTGGTGAAGAACTCTTTAAATTTGGAATGTTAACGGAACCAACCATGCATGAATGTATAATGAGGTTGCTCTCGCAGGGAGACGAAGAATCACTTGAGTGTTTGAGTAACTTACTAAAAACGGTAGGTAATGAACTTACTAGAAAAGTGGTTACCAGCTGGCGGACCGCATCCGGTCAGCGAAGTCCTTTTTTGTGGCCCGCGAACTAAAATTTATTAGTTTTCCTTTTTCTGCTGACCATTTTCGTAAAACTCTTATATGGGTTTGAAATACTTTTCTTTCGTTAAAAAAAAACTAATTTCTTCGTTTCTGTGAAATTTAACATACCAACGGTTGAAAAAAAAATTTTCTCAGGTTTTGCATCCAAGAAAATATTTATTCAAGAAAATATTTATTATTATTTGTAATTCAATACTTTTGTTTTGAACAACTTGATAAAAGTATGACAGTAATATTTAATGTTTCTTCGTACATAAAAGGTTCCTATATAAAATTTTGACAAAGTTGCGGTTCACCATTTGACTAGTGTTATTAATTGTTGCCCCCGGCCTCATGTAAGTTGGAAACACCTTTACTAGACGATCAAAAAGTTAAACGTTCGAAATAAAGTGTAAGTGTTCTTTGTTTTCATTTTGAACAGTGCTTTTACTTGTCATAAAAAGTGAGGAAAATTATTATTGTTACTAACAGTAAGTTTGAGGCTTTAAAAGATAACCTATCTTCAGTCGGAGTTATCCTACTGAAAAAGCTATAGTCAAGCACCCACAGATATATTGAGCTATAAAACAATATAGAGAGTGTTCCGTAATGACCTCCGCAATTGGCGAAAGTGGCAAACATATCCCACAATCCAATCCTATTTCTTTCAAAAAAATTTTACTTGATCATAAAACTAAAATCAAGAAGAAAGTTTTTATTTAAGAAAATACCAAACAGGAGATCGGATGGTTTTAAGTCACTAAATTGGAAATTCGCACACGGGTATCACATGAAACGAGCCTTTCTAACTCTAGAGGTCCCACAGACGTGATCTCGATTCGGTGCTCCCTCGTATAACATTTCGCAATATTACGTACTCTTTAGTATGCATGCTCTTTAAACTTACAGTCCCCCAGAATCGCTTCTCCCTCCATCCGTGGGGAGGGGTTAATCGAGAGCAGAATTCTTACCATAGTTCATACTGAAGAAATTTTTTTTATTATTTTAAAATCGTCGTTGAACAGCTGACCCATATGGTTTACTACTGCTAATGTTCAATTCTGTAGCCTTGTCATTTTGAACCCAATCCAGAAGACGATGAAACTCCTGGATCAAGTATTGGGGGGAAATTTGACTTCGAGGAGGACTTTTTGATGGAACTAACCAGCATTTGCGTTACATGGAGAGGAAAATCACGAAAATCTTCCACGATTAGCTTGACGGCAAGGGGACTCTAACCCATGATCCATCTACCACTGAGGATATTTTAAGTCAGCACTGTGGTCGGTGCGAGCTGGGTGTGGAATCGCTGGGATCGAACCCGAGTCACCTTATTAGGAGGCGAGCGCTCTATCCCCTGAGTCCCCACTGCTCAATACTGAAACATTAACATTAATTGAAATATAAATAGATATTTAGGATTTTACTAAAATACAAATTCATCGGAAAAATTGCTTCAACTTCCATGTGTCGGCTACCACTATCACTAGTACAAAATGTTTGAAACGAAAAGTGCTACTCATTTTCAATTTGATAAGATGAACTTCTAAAAATTTGTTTCACTGAGGCAATCATCTAATAAGATAAAACCACCAAGATGGGCTACGAATAATAAAAGGAATTATAACTACCCTACCCTACAATAATGGATGAGACACTTTTAGTTTTCTAAATTTCGCACGAAATACCAAAAGGATTGTTTCGTTGCTTATACTTAGTAATAAGAATTAAAACTTTACAGGTTTCAGCGACCAACGGAAGAAAACAGGTATTTTTGTCATTTTGAACACCTAAATCACGCAAAAAGCTTGTAACTTATACCGATTACTTTTGCTATAATTGCATAAAATTTATAAACCTAGCTTAAATATTCATGGAAATAATGACATTTTCATAAAAAAAAAAAACTAATTTTTTTGTTTTACGTCTGTTTTTCTATAACTTTAAAAATATTTCATAAAATTAAGCAAAATTTTCAGAGCAATTAAAGAATAATTACAAAACTATTGTTTTAAAATTTGAAATTTTTTTTTTTAAAAGTTGTACAAAATATGACTATTTAATATAGTTCTTTTATACTGCGTATGCGCAGAAAAAAAATTTAAATATTTCTTTTTGATTTTTTAGTGAATCGGATTTGACAACTAATGAAAAAAGTCTTTTTTTTAAAAATATTCGCATCACACCTTTTTATTAGCTGCGAAATACAAGCCACTTCAAAATTATGGGGAAAAAATTTCATATTTTTCCGCGCATGAGCAGCATAAAAGAATTACTTTGAATAGTCATATCTTGCGCAGTTCTTAACGAATTTTTTTTTAAAATTTTGTAGCAATAATTTTGAAATTAATATTTAATTAATCCAAAAAGTTGGTTAATTTTATTAAATATTTAATAATTATTAAATATTTTATTTTATGAACTATTTAATAATTATTTTATTTATTTCATTAAATATTTTATTAAGTTATAGCAAACAAAAAAAATCATAAGTTTAAAAAAAAATTATATAAATGTCCATATTACCATAAATATTTAAGCTGGATTTATGAAATTTTATACAATTATTGCAAATAACAACCGAAGTAATCGATACATGTTACAAGTTAATTGCTTGATTTTTCGGCATAGGGTGTACAAAAATACAGTTTTCTTTTCGTTATTTACTGTAGATCCCTGAAACCTATGAAAGCTTTAAAGTTCATTGCGAAGTATGAAAAACCGCATGAATTAATTAGAGTTACAAAATAATCTTGTATAAGTTTTTCTTGAGAAATGTAAACAAATGTTAAAAACTGAAAGTGTCTTTTTCATTATTCTAGGGTAATGTATTTTAACTCATTTCATTGTGACGTCATATGACTTTCAGTTTAATGCATCATTGCTCAATAAGTTTTAATATAGATTTATAAATTGTTTTTCATTTATCTTCCTTTATATTTTTTATTTACATTTTTTTATATAAAATTTTTTACACCATGCAATTTAAAATTTTTGTTGTTTATTATTAAATTAAAAATCTAAGAAAATTTGTTCGCTTAAAATATTTTGGATGAATGAATTTCAAAAATGCAGTTTTAAATTGCAGAATTAGATATCAATATAAAGGTATTGGGTTTTAAGCATGTCTTTTTTTTAAAGGAAAAAAAAAACTAAACTTTTTGTTATATTTTTTGCCATATTTTGATAATCTCTCTTTTTTTCAGATGGAAAGTTATTTTACGCAAATGCAAAAAATATTAGACAAACATTTGAACAATTCTAAGGTGAGATTTAAGTTGCAAGAAGTTACAGATTTAAAAAGTCATGAAATACTATATCAAAATATTACTTTTTTAAGTTTTGTATGAGTTAATTGGAAAATAATCAATATCTAGGAGAGTCATTATGTATTTCAGTAATTAAATTAAATTGGAATTTTTCACATGATCATACGTCATTAAAACTAATTTTAAATTTATTATAGTATTCTTTTCTATTCATTCCTTTGATTTTTTTTTTCTGTTTCACTGTGGTTAAATCTAAATATTCAAAATGCAATCCATTTCTCTACATTCCTAATATATTAAGTATAAAGACTACGCTTCTCATTTATCAGTTTTGTATTTTTCTTCCTTGTGGACTATAAGGTAATTGCGATTAGTTATCAATCCTACTGGAATTTACACTGTTGTCACAATTTCATGAATGACATCAGAATGTTTTGTAAAAAATTTAAATGATCCGGTCCCAAAAATCAAAACAATAAGATATGATAAGCGCGTTATCTAATAAATGACATTTAGTTTGCCTGAGTCCGCATTTCATTTTGCGTCATTATATTTTTATAAGTAATAAATTTTATTTAATGACTTTTTTTAACTTATAATTTTTTTCACCGATAAATAATATTATCATACACAGGGTATCTACGCACCTGGAAAGTCACGAGAAGTCATGAATTTCGGTATTGAGCAAAATTTGTCATGAAATGTCATGATTTTAACTAATTTTTCAAAAAAAAAAGCATGGAAGTCATGGATTTAAATCTCCGAAAAATCTAATTTTTAAAATGGAATTTACCTCCCTCCCCCAATCTCATGGTGTTCAGAATATCTGAATTTGTAACGAAATCCCAGTCATATTTAATTAAAATATATAATGTTTTATCATGTTCTTTAAAAATTATGGTGTTCTTTCAAAAATTTCTAGAGGGAATTATCTTTCAAACTTCTGTGATTTCAGAATTTTTATTATTATTTATTTTTTTTATTTTATTAATTTCAAATTCTAGCTGAATCAAGCCAGTCATTGACGAATTTTTTTTATTTANGCTTCTAGAGGCAATCATATTCCATATTAAAGGTACTTTTTCTATTGCAAACCGATACTTCCAATTTGTTTATTTTATACATGTGCTAATTTCTATACTACTATTAATGTCTGATAATTTCTTTTTATGTTGTTTAATACCTTACTATGTGTTGTATATTGTGGGTAAGTTTCATAAAATTCCATGTGTAATTTCTTGAGTTATCGCGATTTTTGTGAATTTTCCTTAATTTATGATAACCAGTGTAGTTTGCCTGAGTCCGCATTTCATTTTGCGTCATTATATTTTTATTAAGTAATAAATTTTAGTTAATGACTTTTTTTAACTTATAATTTTTTTCTTCGATAAATAATGTTATCATACGCAGGGTATCTGCGCACCTGGAAAGTCATGAATTTCGGTATTGAACAAAATTTGTCATAAAATGTCATGATTTTAACTATTTTTCAAAAAAAAAAAAGCATGGAAGTCATGGATTTAAATCTCCAAAAAATCTAATTTTTAAAATGGAATTTACCTCCCTCCCCCCAATCTCATGGTGTTCAGAATATCTGAATTTGTAACGAAATCCCAGTCATATTTAATTAAAATACATAATGTTTTATCATGTTCTTTAAAAATTATGGTGTTCATTCAAAAATTTCTAGAGGGAATTATCTTTCAAACTTCTGTGATTTCTGAATTTTTATTATTATTTATTTTTTTTATTTTATTAATTTCAAATTCTAGCTGAATCAAGCCAGTCATTGACGAATTTTTTTATTTTATTCAGATGAATCAGGAGTATTTCTTTCCTTTCCGATGAGCAAGAAAAGTATCTTTAGAATATAATTCTGCAGAAGAAAAACAAATATTTGCTTTTGCATTTTTTCAGCTATTTTATTGCTTTGACTCTTTCTTTACTCTGTTTCTTTAAATTTAAAATCTACGAATATGAAGATGCAGAGTAAAACAGTTTTGGTTATACCTATCATTTCAATTAATGTTAATATAATATTTTTTTAAAATTTATTTTGTGTTTTTGTCGGAGAAAATAGTAACTTCATTAAGTCATGAAAATGCTTGGAATTAGTCATCGAAAGTCATGAATTTGAAAATCTAAAATGTAGGCAGATAAACTGCATACATTTATGTCCATTTTCTATATAAAAAAGTAACTTGCTTAAGCATAACTTATAGAAAAGATAAATTATTCTTCTATTTGCATATTCTAATAAGCAATTTATTTATTCTGTAAAATCCCTACTAGATTATATGCAGCAAAATTTATCCCCTCAGTATTTATATTCGTGTCGAATATAAATATTGTTTGAGCAAGATCATTTTTAAAATGAATGGAACAAATAAATCGTACTTATAAATTCAATGAAGTAGGTAAAATATCATTTTTAGGGGTTAATGCATGTAAGTTTGTAATGCATATAGGTCTAATTAAATTTGTTCTTGATAATCATTTTCTTAATACCTAAAGGGAGAAACTTAAGCTATGCTTGTATTGCTTTACAATATAGTGTTCTATCCTAAGATTTGTTAAGCACCCTAAAAGTTGTTATTATTATTTTGCTGAATATCATAAGAAATGATGGAGGTTTAATAGAGATAAACAAAATTGACCATAAGTTGGTCAATTTTGTTTATCCTTACAAAAATTATTTTCCTAATTATTGGGGTATCCTATTTCCTATTTATAGGGTCCTAAATTATTGGGGTATCCTTACAAAATCTGTCTCAGCGCCTTTTTGAGGAAAATTTTACATTGCCTGATTTTAAAGAAGAACTTGATGAGCTAATAATAAACTTGAAACAGAACTGCTACAAACTACTTTCATTAAAGATTCTAAAACTAAATCTATTTTAGGTGTTTTGTAAAAAATTAGCTTTTAAATTTTGTTGGTTATTTTACCTTAGCAATACGATACGCATGATTTTCAAAGCATAGTAAAGACTTGATGTAGAGAATCTCAATTTATTAGTGTCTAAATATTTTTGACTAGATTTCTTCTAATTTCAGGAGGTTGTCGCAGTGTCAGTTTCAACTGCTCCAGAAGTCCCTCAAAGCCAAACATATGAGCAACTACCCGCTTCTATACCCGCTGCAATTGTAGATAGTGAATTACTTACTACTATTCCCCAGCCTGGAGAAATACTTTCTGACAATTCACCTCAGAGTAAGATTTTAGTATGATCTGGAGTTTTGATTGGTTAGGTAATGCGTCTCCTCAATAAAATGTGTCATGATCAGCTGTAATATGTTACTAAAAATTTATTTTTACATGTTTCTAGTTATTGCTATAAGATTTAAAATATATTTATCGAAATTTTTTCTTTAATATTTAATATCTTAAAAATCTAAGAAAATTTGTTCGCTTAAAATATTTTGGATGAATGAATTTCAAAAATGCAGTTTTGAATTGCAGAATTAGATATCAATANGAGTCTGAAAAACATGGTTCTAGAATTTTTTTTACCTGGTTATAAATAAACTATTCAAACAATCTTTAATTTGATCCTTTTAATGTGTGACCCAAGTGAATATGTTAGAAACACATATTTTTCAATGAATAATTGAGTAATGTATCATGATCAGTTACAATTAAAATTTTAAACAGATAGTGTTCAGTATTCATTTTTGTCATAGCTGAAAAAAATTAAATTTAGTTAGTTTATATATTATGGAATTTATTAGATAGTAAATTTAAAAATAGATAACTTACTGAACTAATTAGTTTTATCTATAAAAATATCCTGATTTAAAAATAAAAACTATAACTTGGAAAATGCGGAGTAAGAAAGTATTTATAATAATAAAAACTAAATTCTAGTTAGTTAAAAATAATTTATTCAATTGTTGTTAAAGAGTGCAGTTAAGTTTGAAGCATTTTTAAAGTAAATATTTACGTTCTTTATATCAGAGTTAAATAACTCTTCGAAGTGTATTTTTTTGATTTGAAAATTATAATGAAATTCCATGCGATATTGATTCATATATAACGTGTTGAACAAGAAAATAAGACTATTTTATAAAGATAATTAAGTTTTTAAGAGTTATATTAGAGCACGTAAGTCTAACTTCTTGATTGTAGTTATGTTGACATATTATAATTCTCCTCCTTTTTTTCAGTGTTGACAATGTTTTAATTTATTGGGTGGTAATAATTTTCCGTATTTCAACTTAATAGTGTTGAATTGAATAAATATATTTAAAACATTTAGGAGAGAAAATAAGCATGATCTTCTTAATAAGTTGTGCTATTTGTGAAAATAATTCTAATAACGATGGTATGAGCCTGCATATTTCACATATGGGGATGCTTTAAAAAGAGAAAACTAAATTTATCGATATTTGATATTAAATCTCTATCCAAAATTTATGTACATACAAAAAAAAATTCCCCCACTAAAGGTAAGGCATATTTCCAAAGAAATACTAAGCCAGTTTGTGGTACTATAACGTATTAAAAATTATCATTCATTTTTGCGTAACGAATTAACTTCATTGCCCTTACAAATTAATTTTGGGAATTCAATGAGATATCTCTACAATTGAATTCCCCGCGATAGAGTCCCACACACGGCAACTTTGTGCAGAACCTTCTTGCAGAAAGGTTTTCTTTTGAAAAGTAAAACATTTTACTTTTCTTTTCTACAGAAATTTACACGTAATCATGCATTTAGATAATCACTTTTTGATGCGCTCAATTTACTCCGACAATATCTTAAATCAATGTTACTTTTCGATTGTATTTTCGGAAGTTATTGATTTTCATGTTGATTTTAAATATCCCGATATATTGCAAACAATATGGAAAATTCGAATCCCACATTTGGGTATTTACTTTTTAAGGCAATGATTCTATTGAAATGTTGGTAGTTATTGCTATTGATTTCCCCATGGTTTTAAATCGATATCTTTTGTACGATATTATTTATTACAACAGCCTATCCTCCAAGCGAAACACACATTTGAGGAGTTCGATTCACGCGATTTTGTAATTGTATTTTTGATTGCCAGTCAATTTTTCATTCTTCAAATTTGTTCTAAACATTTATTTTATTCATTAATAGTATTTTATTCTTTGTATCTACACATTTTCTGACAGTTCTTCTGAATTTTCTACACTTATATTTAAACATTCTTTCTATAGCGACCATTGTTAAATTATTGACATTTAATCTTCTCAGGAAAGAGAGGCGGCATGAAAAAGAAGACTGAATATAACAAGCAAGACAAATATGGTGGAGAAATGGATGCTTTCCTTGATAAAGGAGAAGTAAATTTCACCATTTGGATCTAGTCTTAAATTGGGATCAATGACTTTGCTATAATTATTTATTGCATTAATTTTTTTCTCAATACAATTGTTCATACGTACGACATTACAAACAACTGATGCTGTTAAATTAGCAATATTCAAATAGACAAGCCAGTGATAGACAATAGAAACTACTTCTTAATCTATTTTTTAATTTTTATGGAACTTAATTTTTCCAAAATTACTTTTTCTTGTTTAAATTTTTTTTTATGATCTAAACAAAACTTGACCATTAAAACTGCTTGAAAAATAAATGTATGCAAATAGTACTTGTTAAAACATTACCACTTTTTGAATAACGAATACATTTGATTTTATAAACTAAATTATCTAAAAAAGGAACCATAATTAGTAAAATATCGAATTATGAATACTTACATAAACGAAATAAATTATATTAATTGCACATCAGGCTGAATTAGGGCGTACTGCACTGAGCCCTTTCTGCTTTAAGAAGCATATATTGCTTGATAGTGCAGTGTTTAATTCCTTAGGTACCAGTTTTAAACACTTAAAAAAAATTTATATTGCTGATTATCAAGAAATTCTAAAGGTATAAATATAAATGAAATAGATCAGACTAATTATTGGGTTATCCTTACAAAATCTACTTTAGCAAGCAATGGATTTTGAACAGGTAATACATTGCCTGATTTAAAAGATGTAGTTGGATTTGAGTAAAGAACTAGAACTCACTTACATTAATGATTCAAATTTATAAGACTCTATTTTGGATGTTTCTAAAATAATTTCAAAACATTAATAGTTGTGCCAATAGACAAATCATGATTTTTGCAAAATTAAGGAAGCTGTACGTTAAAGTTAATCATATTTAAAGTGCCTTTTAAATTGGTATGCACTGGGTTAAAATCCTATTGTGGTGTAAATCAAATTTTTTTTAATAAATATTTTACATGATTAAATTTTCTATTTATATAAGTTCTTCCACTTAGATAGTTTAAGAAAAAGATATTAAATTCCTTTTCACTAAAAATAATTTGAAGGTATATTTTTCTTAATTTTCTTAATGCTACAACACCTGAATAAGAATTTTATGTTAATATAAATGATAAAGTAATTCATTCTTAATTCTCATGCCGTAAGAACTAAAATATACCTTTACTTATTTTATATTTTTTTGAAGTTTTTTTTTAAACCTTGGGTATGCATGTTTTTTATTCTTTCACGCAATTTAAAAAACTAAACTTAAGTTTTTATTATTTATTGATTTTATTGGTCAATCTTTAAAGCTGAGTAGTCTTTCAGAAGTTTTGCAACATAGCTT